ATCTAATCCTGTAACAACGCAACCTATTGGCCTTAGGCAGACTACTCCACTGCCCGACCCCACATCTCAAAATAAAGAACGTGGCCCCAAGTCCGCCATCAATAGTCCACCAGCCAATACAACCTCATTACCTTCCCCTGCCCGTCCAGCCGGTCTTGGGGGCGCCTCCCCGCTACCAGAACCCACCTCCCGAGTTGTCCAGCACCCTCGGGTGAATGGAGCTGTCTCCTCTGCGCAGAACCAGCTTGTCGAGGACTCCTCAAGTTCTGAGGCCGAGGAGTATGACGAGACCCGTGAGAAGCTCCAGATGATCCGTATCAAGTTCCTTCGTCTGGCCCACAGGCTTGGCCAAACCCCACACAATGTTGTCGTGGCCCAGGTCTTGTACAGGCTGGGCCTGGCCGAGCAGCTGCAGGGACGGAGTGGAAGCCGCGTGGCCGCCTTCAGCTTTGATCGTGCTAGCGCCATGGCCGAGCAGCTTGAGGCTGCTGGACAGGAGCCTTTGGATTTCACATGTACCATCATGGTTCTCGGCAAATCGGGTGTCGGCAAGAGCGCAACTATAAATTCAATTTTCGATGAGGCCATGTTTGGCACCGATGCTTTTCAGTTTGGCACGAAAAAAGTGCAGGATATTGTTGGGACCGTCCAGGGAATACGGGTACGCGTAATCGACACGCCTGGGCTTTTGCCATCTTGGTCAGACCAGCGGCAGAACGAGAAAACCCTCCGTCAGGTCAAGAAGTTCATCAAGAAAACGCCTCCTGACATTGTGTTGTATCTCGATAGATTGGATATGCAGAGTCGGGATTTTGGCGACATGCCACTCTTGAGGACCATAACAGAAGCATTTGGGGCATCGATTTGGTTCAACGCCATAGTTGTTCTGACCCACGCTGCTTCGGCTCCGCCCGAAGGTCCCAATGGTACAACCACGAGTTACGACATGTTTGTGACTCAGAGGTCGCACGTCGTCCAGCAGGCTATACGTCAGGCTGCTGGCGATATGCGGCTGATGAACCCTGTGTCATTGGTTGAGAACCACTCAGGTTGTAGGACCAACAGAGCTGGGCAGAGGGTTCTGCCGAATGGCCAGGTCTGGAAGCCTCATTTATTGCTTCTGTCTTTCGCCTCGAAAATTCTGGCCGAGGCAAATACTTTGCTGAAATTGCAAGATACTCCCCCGGGAAGACCTTTCACCACCCGATTAAGATCGCCTCCTTTGCCGTTCCTTCTTTCATCCCTACTCCAATCAAGACCAGAAATTAAACTTCCATCTGAGCAGTTTGGTGATGAAGATGATAATGATGCTATCGATGACGATCTGGATGAGTGTGTGGAGTCGGATGAGGAATCTGAGTACGATGAGTTGCCTCCATTCAAAACCTTGACCAAAGGTGAGCTGAACAAGCTCAGCAGAGCGCAAAGGAGGGCATACTATGACGAGCTTGAATACAGAGAGAAGCTCTTCATGAAGAAGCAGCTTAAAGAAGAGAGGCGAAGGCGGAGGATGATGAAAAAGCTGCAGGAGGCAGCTAAGGATTTGCCTGCTGAGCATGGCGAGAATAATGATGAGGAAACTGCTGGTGCTTCGTCCGTACCCGTTCCCATGCCGGACCTGGTTTTGCCCGCCTCATTCGATTCTGATAATCCAACTCATCGGTACCGTTCACTCGATTCTAATACCTGGCTCGTGAGGGCTGTTTTGGAACCCAATGGGTGGGACCATGATATCGGGTATGATGGCATAAACATTGAGAAACTGTTCACATTGAAGGAGAAAGTGCCGATATCATTCTCGGGCCACATTTCAAAGGATAAAAAGGACACCAACCTTCAGATGGAAATCGCGAGCTCTGTAAAGCATGGAAAAGGCAAAGCAACTTCTCTTGGGTTTGACATGCAGTCGGTTGGCAAGGACTATGCCTACACTTTACGAAGTGAGACTCAGTTTAGCAATCACAGGATAAATAAGGCGGTTGCTGGTCTCTCGGCTACTGCTTTAGGAGATGTTGTGACAGGCGGAGTGAAATTAGAGGACAAACTAATAATCGGTAAAAAGGGGCATGTTGTTATTTCAGGAGGCGCGATTTATGGCCGTGGGGAGGTGGCGTATGGTGGTAGTCTCGAAGCAACTTTTAAGGACAAGGAAAATCCTTTGGGAAGGTTCTGCTCGACCTTAGGGATTTCGGTCATGGATTGGCATGGTGATCCTGCTATTGGTTGCAATTCTCAGATTCAGATTCCTATTGGGAGGTACACGAACTTGGGCAGCCGTCTTAATATTAACAACAGGGGTTCCGGGCAGTTTAGCGTCAAAATCAATAGTTCCGAGCAGCTGCAGATTGTTTTGATTGGCTTGATCCCTTTGGTGAAGAAGTTAATGGGTTATTCTCAACAAGCACAATACGGATAATGATGATGATGAGGATGATGATGATGATGATGACGACGACGACGATGATGATGATGATGAAAGTGGATAGTGCTTACTGTAAAGGCAGTTGGACAAGTATAAATATGCTTTTCACGATGGGCAGCCTTTTATGTGATCGTTGAACGACAAAGGTATTTTTTCATGCTTTTTTTTTTTACAATCCCAGGTTCCGTATATTGAGTGTTCACAATTTCTTCTTAAGTTGTATTTTGAGATAAATGGGTCTTTTTACGAACGGAAGCTCTTTGGTTTATTTGTTTTATTAGCTTTTAATGGGTACCTATGAGAGCTAGAGCACTGAGGCACAAGAGAGCAAATTTTCAATTTAATTTGTTTGTGTTGAAAGGTGATTCTAACCGCGATTTATTCACTTTTCTCCAAAGTGTGATTCAACGGGCATCTCTAATCTATTCATGTAAATTTTTACTCTTTTGCCGCTGCAGGGCTGGGGAGAGCTTCATTTGATATAGCAAAGTTCCGATTTTTCCTTTTTCTTTAAAAAAAATAGTTCTCTGCAACTGACGTTCAGATTTCATGGTGCAGTTAGTTACCCGATTAGTTATATCTATGTTGTGGAATAATGATGTAGAGTATGATGTATTTCTATCAAATTTGATCGGTTTTGAGTTTTACATGTCAAGCTGAATCTTCGCTCGTTTTTCTGAGTGAAAGCCTGATTATTCTTCATTGTTGTCTATCAGGTATAGGCAGAAGACTAGGATTAGAAATCTGCAGGACATTTGCATTTTTCGCTCGAGCCCCATAAGTCTTGAATGCTCAGATCAGAAGACATCATGTTCTTCGGTTGCTTTCCATAACGTACGTGAATTCTACTTATGGTACTTAATATTGGCTTGTAATAAATTTACTCTTTTGATTGCCTTCAAATATGTAGAATGCTGTTGCTGTCTAGAACTGAATAAGTGAGTTATTTTGCTGCATAAGTTGTGCTGTTTTGGTTTAATTAATAAACTGTTACTTGCTTTCGAATTCTTTTATTAGCAAACATATGTTATGTTACTACTTATGTACAATAACAATCGAGGCTACGCCATTAAAAACAAACTTATTTGCCATTTAACTAATCCTTATGAGATAATCAGTATAATTCAAATGTAACTAACTTCACAAACTAATAATGTAACACAATAATATTGTACTCAACAATTGCATCACCAGACGTAGAATTATAAGTCAGAGTCTTCAACACAGCTGTACCCCGAGCCAGCCGGAAGAAACCGGACCCGCCCACAATTGCCAGCTCACGGTTTTCGTGCAAAAATGGGTTGTGCCCGACCAGGCTTAGCGTGCTACCGTTAAACTTTCTATTCGTGAAAACAACGCTAAACGTCATATGATACGCTATCTCTTCCAGCGAGGCTGCGAGGAGAAGCCCTTGGGCCCGGCCCACAATCTCAGAATCCGGGCTGGGCCCAACAGTGAGCAAATCATCCATCGCTCCAATCAGCCCAAATAAGGTGGACGATCGGGCAGTTGAGTTTGCCGCTGCAATCGGGACGTTTGTTGGGCTGGGTCTGCCGACTAGGTCGTGAAGGTAGAAATGAAGCTGGGTCACCTTCTTGTTTGCATTAGCGATTTTTTTGTACCATTTTTGGACTGATTTGGGGTAGTCGTGGGCTCCTACCGGCCCAACTCCGTTAGACACTGGCAGAGCGGAGAGTACAACCGCGCAAAGCGTGAGGAATGTGAAAAATGATTTGTCCATTATCGTATCTATCTCTCTACACAAAAAAAGAATGATTATTGTGATTAGCAATGGACAATTTCGAGGCACATATATAGTGAAGTTGACACAGGTAATAAAACGTATGGGGCTGCATGATTTCCGTAAATAGCTATAAATTGATACGTGAGAAACTATCAAAACCTTAAATTTGGTAATACTAATTTGTGGGGACTTTGACTGATAAGAATCTGGATTTTTTGCTGTGATGAATGAATACATGCTGAAAAGTTGCATGGATACATATAAATTGTTACAAAATAATTATCGGATCTTTGAATTAAAGATGCGCAGAGACTGAAAGATGGAGAATGAACAATGAAAAGGAATGCTTGTATTGAACAATAAACTGCGGAAGAGAAAAGTAGGGTTTCTGTGTACAGGAGACTATATTTATATTAGAGTACATATGCCTATAGTTGCTATTTATAAGTAGCAACTTTACAAGAAATAAAGCTAAGATATAAAAACATTAATATAAAAATAAAGTACAATAAGAATATATGGGAGTTAATATCCCCCCGCAAGCTAAACATGAATATTACACATGTTAAGCTTGGAATCTAAAAAAGAAAAGGCAGGTCCAGGGAGGGGCTTGGTCAGTATATCTGCAATCTGCTCTTTGGTAGGAATGTAATGCAACTGAATGATCTTGGAGCTGATTTTCTCTCTGATCAGATGGCAGTCCAATTGGATGTGTTTAGTCCTTTCGTGGAAGACAGGATTGGAGGCTATGGCAATAGCTGATTTGCTGTCACAAAAAACAGAAACTGGGGAGGGATGGATCAAGTGCAGTTCTTGAAATAAATATAAGAGCCATTGAACTTCACAAGATGTAGATGCAAGTGCCCTATATTCAGCTTCAGCTGAAGATCTACTAATAGTTGATTGTTTCTTAGATTTCCATGAAATAAGTGAATCCCCAAGAAACACAGCATAACAAGTTAAACTTTTTCTTGTATCTGGACAACCCCCCCAGTCACTATCACTATATGCAGTTAAAGTTAAACTAGAGGAATTAGAGTAAAACAAACCTTTACCAACTGTACCTTTGATGTATCTGAGGACTCTGTGGGCAGCAGAAAGGTGAGCTTTGGATGGGTTAGCCATAAACTGACTAAGTAACTGAACACTATATGATATATCAGGTCTGGTTATGGTCAGGTATAAAAGCCTGCCCACCAGCCTTCTATATTCAGAGGCATCAATTGTATCATTATTATCTGAAATGGAACTAAGTTTCAAAGTAGCATCCATTGGAGTTGTAGCAGGCTTACAACCCAAAAAACCAGTATCCTTGAGGATATCCAAAGCATATTTCCTTTGGCACATTTGAATGCCCTTATCAGAGTGAGCAAACTCAATGCCTAGGATATATTTCAAAACTCCCAAATCTTTAATAGTAAAACATTTATCAAGATGAGACTTTATAGCATTGATTTGGGATAAATTATTGCATGCTATGATTATATCATCCACATAAACAAGTAGGGCCATAAAATTTCCATTTTCAGATAAAGTAAAAAGAGAGCAATCTGAAATAGATTGGTGAAAACCATAAGAAAGCAGACAGGTAGTTAGTTTGTGAAACCACTGCCTTGAAGCCTGTTTGAGGCCATAAAGGCTTTTCAATAATTTGCATACTCTCTTATCACCTTTCTGACAATAACCAGGTGGGGGTTTCATGAATACATCCTCATTTAAATCACCATGTAAAAATGCATTGTTTACATCAAGTTGGTGAACATGCCATTTCATGATAGAAGATAAAGCAATTAAGAATCTGACTGTAGTAATTTTTGCCACAGGAGAGAAGGTATCAAAATAGTCAATACCCTCTTCCTGTGTATAGCCTTTGGCTACCAATCTAGCTTTATACCTCTCTATAGTGCCATCAGATTTATATTTAACTTTATAAACCCATTTGCAGCCTATGCAATGCTTGTCACTTGGTAATTCTGTTAAAACCCAAGTGTTTGTATGTTCTAATGCATCAAGTTCTTTTCTCATGGCAGCCTGCCAAAGGGGATCTTTGGCAGCCTGTGTATATGAAGTAGGTTCAGTGACTTGTGATATGGCAGCAGTATAACATGAATGAGATGAAGATAAGTGCTTTGTAGACAAGTAATCAGAAATGGGATATGAGGTTGTTCCAGAAAGTATTTGTTCAGATAGGACACAGTTAGAAGAAGGTTTGAGTGAGTGTTTATAGATATCTAAGTAAGCAGGAAGTTTATGGGGTCTGGTTGATCTTCTTGGAGGAGTTGTTTGAGTGGCTGTCTGGGTGTGAGTGGATTGTAAGACAGGAGAAAGGTGTTGGGGTGATTGTTGAGGAGATGTATTCTGAGATAAGTGCTGAGTATGAACAGGAGATGTGTTCTGAGAGTGAACATGAGATGTGTTCTGAGATGTGTTCTGAGAGTGAATAGGAGATGTGTTCTGAGAGTGAACAGGAGATGTGTTCTGAGATTGAACAGAAGGTGTGAGCTGAGAAAGTGAAGTGTCTGAGTATGGGAAGTTTGTTGGTTGGGGAAACAATTGTGATGGAGAATCTGAGGATTTGTTTGCAAAGGGAAACAAGTTTCATAAAACTGAACATTTCTGGAAATTAATGTACTCTTGGTTTCCAAGTTATAGAGTTTATAACCCTAATAACCCAATGGATAACCTAGAAAAATGCATTTGGATGCTCTTTTTGAAAATTTTGTTCTATGTGAAGTGAGAGTTGACGCATAACAAAGACAACCTATAACTTTGAGATGATCAAGAGTTGGTTGTTTATTGTACAGAATTTCAAAGGGAGATTTGTTTTGCAAAACTTTTGTGGGTATTCTATTGATGATATGGGCAGCAGCCAAGACACAATCTGTCCAAAAAGATAATGGTAATGATGCATGAAAGAGTAATGCTCTAGCAACTTGTAATAAATGTTGATGTTTTTTTTCAACTCGAGCATTCTGTTGAGGAGTTTCAACACAGCTCTTTTGGTGAATGGTGCCATGAGAATGATAGAAATCATGCATGAAAAATTCTATGCCATTATCAGATCTGAGAACTTTGATCTTTTTATGAAACTGAGTTGTGACCATGTTATAAAAATTTTGAATGCAATGTTTTGTATCTGATTTGTGAGATAATGGGTATATCCATGTGGTCCTACTATGATCATCAACAATAGTAAGGAAATAACTGTAACCATCATGAGATTTTGTATGGAAAGGTCCCCATATATCACAATGTATGAGTTCAAAGCATTCTGATGCAATAGAAGAACTAATGGGAAAACTCAGTTTCTTTTACTTAGCAAAATGACAAACATCACAAGGCATAGAATGAAAGCTATTACAATCAGGTACTGTGATAGGTAACTGTGACATTCTGGAATAAGAAAGATGTCCAAGTCTATGATGCCATATGTTTGTGATATCTGTACAAGGTTTATGATGAGAAGAAGAGTTTACATTGGAAAGGTTATCAACATTAGAACTAGTAGTATTAACAGAATGCAATAATGAGCAATCAGATCCCAGTTTGAGATGGTAGAGGCCATCTTTAAGTTCAACAGAACCAATCACTTTCTGAGTGCTCAGGTCCTGTAATATGCAGTATGTGGACAGGAAAGTGACAGAGCAATTATTGGAAGAAACCAATTTTGAGACAGATATGAGATTGAAGTGGAAACTAGGAACAAATAGCACATCATGCAGTTTTATGTGATCAGTTAAGTCTAGATGACCTTTGTGACATGCTTTAGTTTGTTGACCATTAGGCAGATTAATATATATATTGGCAGATAGTGGTGGTGCAGCAAAAAAATTCATATCACAGATCATGTGGTCAGTTGCACCAATATCTAATATCCATGTCTGTTTGTTTAAAGTCCTAGAAGCCACAAGAGAGTAATGAGAAGTACCTGAGGGATAACTCATTCCTGAGATGGCAGAAGCTATCACAGGTGTATGATCAGCTCCTAAATGTTCCTTTGACTGTTTGAATGCTAAAAACTCAGCAAAGAGATCATTAGTCAATGAAGTATCAGTAGTTTTAGGCTCTGTTGTGTGAAGCAGGTTTGCAGAAGGGTTAGGAGGATTTGGTGGTGTTCTTGGTCCCTTAGGGCCAACCCAATTGGCAGGATAACCAATGAGTTGATAGCATTTTTCAGCAGTATGGCCAGTATAACCACAGTGAGTACATTTGGGTCTTTTCTTGTCTTTAGGAAATTGAGGCTTGTAGTGTTTAGGTTGAGTGGTTTTAGCAAGCATGGCCATAGGATCAGATAGGGTTGTGGTGTTTTGAAGGCTTCTCTGAGATTCTTCTTGAAGTAAGAGGCTGTATATTTTGGTGAGGGAAGGCAGAGGTGTGGATAACAAAAAATGGCTCCTCAATGAAGAATAAGAATCATTGAGACCAATGAGGAACTTCATTACAGAATCCTGTTGTTGAGCTAATGACATAGACTCAAAAACATTGCAAGTACAGACAGAAAAAGCACCACATGTACATCGAAAAATAGGTCTATATGTGACATACTCATCCCACATGGCTTTGAAAGCATTGTAATACTGAGTTATAGACAAATGACCCTGATCCATTGTACTTAACGATTTTTCAAGCTGAAAAACTCTAGGACCACTACTCAGGGCATATCTATTTTTAATTTCATCCCAAACATCTTTGGCTGATGTGAAAAACAGAAGTGATTGACGTATATCTTTGCAAACTGAGTTTAAAATCCAGGAAAGGACGAGATTGTTTGCTCGCAGCCATGACACATATAAAACAGAATTATCAGGAGAAGGAGGAACAATTGTACCATCAATAAAACCTCCTTTGTTTTTGACACTGAGCGCCATGACCACAGCACGCGACCACGAGACATAATTGTCGCCGGAGAAGACCTCAGCGACTATCAACGCACCAGGATTGTCTGAGGCATGCAAGTAGAATGGTGTCGCAGGATCATCAGACGGATGTACGCTTGT